AACGCCTCGGCAGGATAAATGCATCTATGGATCGTGTCGCACGTCCCTCGGCAGTGTACACGACACTCTGGATCGGGTCGTACGTCCTCGGCAGAAATCGTGCTTAATATTAATAATTACACGATACCTTACTAGTTTATTTCAGCTTGTGAAACTAACTGATAAATTGGAAATCTTTGGAATTTAATGAATTAGTATTCCTGCTTGTTAAGGAATTATTGTTATTCTTGTAAATGAGACTAATTGATAAATTGGAAATTTATTTAAAATTGAAGGAATTTAATTAATATATTGAGAATTACTGCATTTGAAGGAATTTGATTATTTCTGCTGGTTAAATAAATTATTGTAAATTCTGTGAATTATATTGATTTAGATATTCTAGTTTTATTTCAATTATTATTATTGACCCATAGTGAGTGTCAAAGTCGGCTATCTCGTCTCTACCACTTCGAGATTAGGCTTGATACTTATTGGGTAAACGTTGTTTTCGTACTCATACTACACTTGCTGCATATTTTATTGTGCAGGTACATATATATATAGCGGCCTTGTGGGCGCAGAGGTGTGGTTAATAATTGTGGGGACATAGGTGAGCTGCATTCTATATTACGATCCGCAGCTAACAGAGTCTCCTTCAGAGTTATTATATTTTTCTGTCTAATTTATATTATGGACAGATGTTGTATTTTATTTTTAATTCCCTAGTAAATGCTCATGCACTTGTGATACCGGGTTTTGGGAATGGTTGTGAATTGTTTAAAAATTTAGTTGCTAAAAATATTTATCATTTACTCTATGAGTTTTATCTTTATTATCTCATTGAAAAAATTTTGATTTCAAAATTACTAAATGGGTAATTAAGTGAAGTTTGTATTGTTGGCTTGCCTGACAGCGGTGTCCGGCGCCATCACAACCTTAATGAATTTTAGGTCGTGATACATAGCAGGTAAGCTCTCAACATCTTCATAAAACACAGAAATGAACGTTTAAATTAAATATGATATTTTTGGGTCATCACAGTGCTCCTCCTCTTCACATGATCAAACCACCTAAGTCGCGCTTCCCGCATCTTGTCCTCAATAGGGGCCACACCCACCTTATCACGAATAACTGCATTCCTGATCCTATCTAACCTGGTGTGCCCACATATCCATCTCAATATCCTCATTTTGCTACCTTCATCTTCTGGACATGCGCGATCTTGACTGACCAACACTCAGCCCTATACAACATCGTAGATCTGACCACCACTCTGTAGAACTTATCCTTAAGTTTTGGTAGCATCTTCTTGTCACACAAAACACCATAAGCGAGTCTCCATTTCATCCATCCCGCCCCAATACGATGTGTGACATCTTCATCAATCTCCCCATCCCCCTGAATAATAGACTCAAGGTACTTAAAACTCTCTTTTCTAGGGATGACCTGCGATTCCAGCCACACCTCCCCTTTCCCTCCTTGAGTCTCGCCACTGAACTTACACTCTATGTATTCTGTCTTGGTCCTGCTCAATTTGAAACCTTTAGATTTCAGGGTCTACCTCCATACCTCTAATTGAGCATTCATACAGTCTCGCGTCTCATCAATCAATACAATATCATCTGCAAATAGCATGCACCACGGCACCTTCCATTGGATGTGGCGCGTCAGTACGTCCATCACCAGAGCAAACAAAAAAGGATTGAGTGCCGACCCCTGATGCAACCCCATCATAACCGAAAAATGGCCCGAGTCCCTATCCACCCGTCCTCACTCGGGTCTTTACCCCATTATACATGTCCTTATGTATAGCTAATGCATAGCAAACCATGGTATTGGCAATACCAAGGCTATTAATGCTTGCATTAGCATGGTTAAAAGCGAAATTATCCTTAAAGTCCTTTAAAGCTAAAGAATATGGAGGGCATTTTTGTAAACAAATAATTTTCTTAAAAATTGTGAATGAATTTTAATTTTTAATATACCACACCAAACAATAGATAAGAAATAACCTATGCATATGCATTACTAATCCCTTCATTACTAATACACCTAATTCAACATTATTCTTATATACTCTACCAAATGACTTTTGTACATTCGGTTTTAGAAAAAAATTTATGTTTCATTTTTTTTTGGATTATTTTAATTGGTTCTAGCATTATATATCATTTTATTGTGTTATTGTTGTGGTTGAATGATTCTCCAAAGTTACGGGGTCATTTTGCCTATTTCCTTCACGTGCGACTAGCTGGCACTCATTCACAAAATCAATAAAGATTAACACTTTTTTCGATCCCATTCATTCGATCATATGTACTTTTTAGTTTTTCAAAAAGAATTATTGGTTTTTTAAAATTTTAGATTATTTATTTATTTTATTTTTATAATCATACAAATGGTATCATATGTTTAACATTTCACATTTTAAAATTTGTATGGTTACACAAATGTTAATATCATGTTTAATATAATATGTTTCAGAGTCTTTCATTTTTCTTACATAAGATCTTGTGCTCAATCAATTATGTCTAAGTAATGTGCGTTGAAAGAAATTTAGTCATTGATCCGATTTTTGTAATTGTCATGTTAAACTTTAATTTCTTTTCCTTCTTTACAGCTTCCCTTTTAATATTTACTGCAACAGTTGAGGTTTGGGGCAAAAAAACGCAGGGGTAATGGTGTAGAAAAGTTTCTCGTAAAACCAGAAAAGTTAGCTAAACTTTTTCTTTTCTACATGGAAATAGAAGGTACATAGCGGAAAGCGAACTGCTGCCCCATTATTTGGTTGGTGTGATATAACATTGGCACATTAAAAATTCGAAGAGAAATATCAAATTAAGGATTATTTTGAGAAACGAATTTGGGATTTTCCGGCACGAATCCGGATTTAATCGGGCCCAAACATGGTACCAACAGCGAGTGAAAAACAAAACAAAAAAGTAAGGAGAGAACGAACAATTTTTAAGCTCCAGTAGAAAAGAGAGCATTAATATTAAATTATTGATAAACTCTCTAAAAGAAAAATTCACACAATCCATAGCTCACTAGTAACTACTAATGCAGAAGTTAATACGGAATTACCCGAGCAAGAACTTTAACTAACTTCTCCTTACCCGAAGTCCAGTTCTAAACTCTTTATGAATTCCAATTTCCAGACCAACAAATTTGTTTACACAATTATTTCTAAATTTCACATACCCATGGTTAAAATTAATAAGAAGCAAATCCAATGGAACAATTTTGGATTTAAGTTGTACATACTAGCTATAAGTGGACGTTGAGCCTAGGAGCAACGATAAAGTTGTCTCGTGTGACTTATATGTTATGAGTTCAAGCTGTAGAATTAGCCATGATGTGTGCATCAGGTTAGGTTGCATACATCACACATATTTGGGGCGCGACCCTTTTCAGACCCTGCATGAATAAGAGATGATTCTGGTACTGGACTACCCTTTTTATACTAGCTATTAGTGAATTTTTACATGTAATAGCCTGTATTTATCATTAACATGATTATATAAATATTTCTCATACTTAGTGTACTCAAAAGTTATTAGGGAATACTTAAGGCACTAAAAGACCAAAAATGGGTGGATATTTTCTATCTTGTCATTTTCTTAATGTACATTGTTAAGGCACATGTAAACTGAAAACGATGAGCACTATTGAGTGGTAACCCATGCATTGGAGACGCCAATCTAAGGGGAAAAAAATTAATTATAAAAACTGGTGATATTTTTTTTTATTCTCTTCCCATTTTCTTCGTTTTTCTCTTCTGTCTTTCCCTGTTGTATTTACTTTCTTCACGAACTTCCTTTCCATTCTGTCATTTATGTTTCCTTTCCCCTTCTACTCTTGTCCCTGTCATCCTTTCTTTAATTCTTTTTTATCTTTTCCGAAAACATATTACTTTCATCAACAAAAAATCCAATCAACAGATAATACGCCAATAGCAAAAGAATACCTAATCATGCATTTTGCCTGCAATATAAATTTTCCATTCTCAATACTAGCGTCCAAATTCCAGCTCCTGATATCAGAAAGATCAGCTTCTTATAAAAATTGGATGAAAGTAACCTCATGGCAGAAGATACCTCTCTCCAGCTTCCGTTTACAGTTGTTATTTTCAAAGAAAGTTCTCATCAAAATAAGTGTGAATTCAACAATTTTCCTTTTTTCTCCTCTTTTGCCAATCTCCTAATATAGTAGAAAGAACTTAAGAAAAGGTCCACTATTTGTTTTTTGAAGTGTACGTAATCCATTGCAGCATAATTATCTGAACTTATTCCGCTGGCTAATTTTGTATGCTAGGAGAATATATGAACTTCACTGATATTCAAATTCGTTCTAGCGTTACAGCTTACAAGTTAGAATCCAGTGGTCTCTTTTTGGTAGCCTAGTCCGATCATCAATCTTCTCCTATGAAAACTTAATCCTGAAAATTTTATGAATTATAGCAAACTGGCCCTTCAGGCTCATCTCGTAATTGCACCAGAGTACAGAGTAACCCCCATTTTCCACCAGATGTGGCATCGCGCTTTCACACTACCTCATCTCTCTGAAGTAAAGTTTTCAAATAGGGTCTGATAGCTTAAGGAGTCAACAATCTGTACATGCATACATCCAGAACATGAATGGATATACGTCCCAGAACTTCCATCAAAAGGACCTACTACGTTTACTCATCTGAGTGACACTTGCTAATGCCAATAACCAGAGCATATTTTCCCTGACACAAGACACCGGACAAGTATTATGTGGGGGGAGTTGGAACAACGATAAACATGAGAAACAATACAGGCATAGTTTACCTTATTCCCCTTTGTATGGCACAACAAAGGCTCCTATAATACAAGGAAAAGGTGAAAAGTAACAACTCTTTTCTGCCACCACACATAAGCAAAGAGTCACAGCTCACTCACATGAAGTGAAGACCTGCAGAAGATACAAGAAAATAACATGCAAGGAACTCTAATACTCGAAGACTAAGCAAAACAACTTAGATTTATAGCAAGATATTCGATGGAACAAATAATAAATAAGAATTCCAAACTGAAACAGTTGAGGCCTCGAGACCATGAAAAACAGGGAGAATCCAAAAATCCTATTTCCAAGATATTAGCAATATAAATGCCTTAAAATCATTATGGCCAAATGGCTCCCCTAGATGCTCTTTCCTAATAACGCCCAATTCCCCATACTCTAATCAAACCATCTGTGTATCCACCGAAAAGTGTACTTCCATCAGCACTCCAGCTCAAACAGGTGCAGTATATGATCTGCCAATTGAGATGCATTGATGTCAGATCCACATATAATGTATTTCCCACTCAGAATACTTGAAATACAACATAAAAATAATTCGGTCCATCTGATGCACGCTTTAGTAGAAAGTTATAGACTTGGAAAACTTAAAACCTATAGGAAAAATTATATCTTTCCTGCTTAGCAGCGTACTAAAATTTATCATTTGCAGAGACATTTGTAACATTAGCATCAGAAAAAAATGCTTCAGCCACCAAAAAGAAGTGACACCACATGTGACAAATAACACCCAGATGGATCAATACTTCTTAAAAGATCTAATTAACTACTTAGAGAACAATATCCGACAAATGCATTTCCTGACCAAATGTAAAAACAAGTGGCCGGAAACAACCATTAAATCCTGCAATGCTTCTTTTCATCAGGGTGTGCCAGATATTTTAACAAGGGGATACAAAAATTTCAAACTTGCACAGGGGATACACAATTCACACATGTCCGGAAAATTTCACTTTTACCTATTTTGTATAGTGTAATTTCCCGATGAAGCGGATTCAATTGAACCAACACAGTTAGCTCTGCCACTGCCACTCACGGCATAGTACATATTACACCATAACTTTTAGGAACTGTAAGCAGCTAACAGGTCATCTCTTCTGATAAATGTTTTTCCTTGGGATATCATTTTCTAGATCATTTTGACATATGGCATTTGGTTATTAAATACTGACAACAAAGTGTTGATTAAAACTAAGATTGTATAGGAGTTGGGATATTCAAAAGATAAAATGACTAACTCATTTTGGTGAAAGTATTTTCCTGGACATAATTTTGTAGATTCCAAATTAACGGAACACTATGAGATTTTCCTAAAGGAAAACATTTTTCAATCACAACAAACATTACCCAATTCAGCCAATTAACTTATACAATACCTGAATTCAAACAGCAATTATCATCAGACAAAACAACAAAAACAAAATATAAAGCTCATAAAATAAAAAATCAAAAGGACAATACAGACCTTGTTTTTGGCAGCAGCAGTTCCCTCAGCAGACATTTCACTCTCTTGTTTCAGATCAACTCTAAGATCCACCACAATGCTTTTACTCTCCAAATCCCAAATCTTAATACTTGATTCCGTAGCAGCACAAAGCCAATACCTATTCGGACTAAAACATAAAGTATGAATGATAGACCCAGCATCAAGCGAATACAGTTTCTTTCCCTCAGCCAAATCCCAAAGCAAAATAACTCCGTCCTTTCCTCCACTAGCACACAATGAACCATCAGGAGAAACCGCCACGGTGTTCACATAACCACTGTGTCCAGCTAGAGTAGACCTTAGCTTACAGTTCGTCAAATTCCAGATTTTCACAGTCCGGTCCCACGACCCAGAAACGATAGTTGGTTGAAGATTGTTTGGGCTAAAACGGACACATGAAACCCAATCGGAATGTGAGTCCCCATCCGTTATTGTGTACTTACACTCACCGAGGGTGTTCCAAAGCTTGATGGTTTTGTCACGTGAGGCTGACACGATTTGACGGTTATCGACGNGTTATCAATAGAAAATGCAACGGACAAAACATCCTTAGTGTGACCTACGAAACGACGAGCGGTTGTACCAGCTTGAAGATCCCATAAACGGAGCTCACCGTCCCATGAACCGGAGAGTGCAAACATGCCGTCAGATGAAAGGACGACGTCTTGGACGAAATGGCCGTGGCCAGTAAGGCGGCGGCGGGGGACGCCGTATTGTGGGCCGTCTTTTGTTAGTGACCAAACAATGATGGATTTGTCACGAGAAGATGTGACGATCATGTCGGAGTTGTCAATTGGGGTGGCTATGGCGGTGACCCAGTCAGTGTGGGCCCTCATTGTGCCGCGGAGTACTAGCGATTCCGACATTTCGTCAAACAGGTGGTGGTGGTGTTGGCCTCTCTTGTGTCACTGTGTAGCCTTTGGAGGCAGAAGTTTGTAGTATGATGATAGTGTAGAGAAACCCTAGGGTTTGAAGTGGATGAATTTATATGGTGGAAATTTTGTTCGGGTTTTTTTAGAAGGGTGAGCATGATGGGCCAAGCAAACGGGTCTGGGTACTGGATTTCGGTTGTTTGAAATTAAAACGGGTTAATTTCATGGAATTCAATTTATAGCCTGTTTGGCCAAGCTGGAGAAATCAGCTTATTTTGATAAGTGCTTTTTTCAAAAGTGCTTTTGAAAAAAGTACTTTTGGAGAGAAGCAATTTGTGTTTGGTTAATCAGTCTGAAAAGCACTTTTGAGAAATAATTTGTGTTTGGCCAAGCTTTTTAGAAAGTG